GTCGTTATCGAGATCGCAAGGTGAACAACCAGAAGTGTTATGCGCACACTGAAGAGGGATGGCGGATGATTCCATGGTGTAAAGTGAGTAAGAACGTACTCATTGCTGTCGCGGATTCGTATAGTTGCTTCGCTGTTACGCAGAGTTCATACTTCGCGACAAAAGTGATTCAGTTGTAGGATTTGAGGATCAAGGCGACCGCGCTCCACCGCTAGTCGCTGGACCACTTCAAGTGCTAAGTCAACCTCATTGGCCAGTATTTCTTTCGGAATTGCGGTTTTTGTGCCACAGCTGCTTTGTGACCGTACTTGTGCACACCGTTATACAGTCCTCATCATTGCGGACCGGTGGGGCGTGTCAGCCAGTATGAGTGTGCACACTGTTGAAGCCGTTCTCAGCCTTTTTGTTGAAACGCGTATGCGACAAAAAGTGGTAGAAAACGAGTAATACGAAGGATATAATACAGTAATGTCACTTGCCCGCTTCAACAACTGGTGCAGAACGACTTTGGCACCGCGCCAAACGCAGCCGCACTGAACCGCCCCGACAGTACGTAATGATGAGGACTATACTTCAATGTCAATAGTCGTAGCTTGCGGCGCAAGCGGTACACTTCTAGAAAATAATGTTGTGGTTTGGTCTCAGTTGCATCACTGGTGGATGCAGCCACGTCGGACCACGTCGCCGAGTGCTGGCTTTTAGAAAGACGATCGTCATGATCGAGACGCTGGCATGAGACGCGGTGGTCGAGGCGGTTACGAAGGAGGAGGTCAGCGCTATGGTGGACGTGACCGAAACAACGATGATTCGAGAGAAGGTGGATGGAAAGGAAAAAATTTCAGAAACAAGGACAGGTACCGTTTCTTGCCACTTATTTGTCTATTATATCCTGAATTCATTATTCCAGAGAGGATCGGTCCACCTGGGATATTCGTCCCACCCCAGAAGAAGTTGCCAAGCAGAAAAAACTCTTGTGGTCAAACAAAAAAGTAAACAAAGAGGTGAGAAAGGGATGTAGGGGGAGGATAACTGTAGATTTCTTCGATTCATGGAGTCTTCACAATATTTTTTTTATTTCAGGCAAGCAGTGATGCTGCTGAAGGAAGCGCAGAAGGCTCGACAGAACAAGCACCGAGCCAAGACAAAAATGTTGGCTTGTGGTCTAGCGCGATAACAGCGAGTGGTGTTGGTGGTGACCAGGCGAACAAATTTCTGAAACTCATGGGCATCAAGAATGTTCCCACTGTTGATCCGGCCACTGTGAGTTTTGACTTCATTTGAATTCCGGAGCAAAGGTATTGGGGTGGGGGGGGGGACCCGAGGGGCGTTCAGACTTTGCGTCAGGTCAGCTTTTTGAGCGACTAGGAAAGTATGGATATCGATATAGCGTTTCCAGCGTACGCCAGCGGTTTGGACGTTGAGCGCGGGAAGTTTGAATTTTTCGCAGGCAGTGAAACCGCTAACAAGCGATAGATCAATATCTGCAGTTTCCTTGTCGCTCGAGAGATAGGCGTACGGACTCGAAACGCTATGTCGCGAAGTATGAGAAGCAGCGCCTTTATGTTGTCGTTGACCAACAAAAGTGCAAATTCGTTTTTGTGAACATAATGGGTGCACACGCCATTCCTGTCTGACATGAGAGGGCTTCAGGCAAGCAAATCAAGTATCCGCAGAATATTCGCATGCACCCCCCCCTCCACCCACTAATTTAACTCCATTGTCATTTTAAGACCAATTTTTTTTGTGTATTTCATTCCCTTGATGATTCCTTGTTTCGGTATCTCCTTAGTAAGTCCAATCTACGGCGCCTAGAGAGGGCACGTGTTTTGGACGCACGGGTCAGGGTGTTGTTCTCGCTCTCTACCCGTCTTAGCGCCTGTTATTATGCGAAATGTTTGCCTGAACAAAGGTGTCCACCAGCCGGGCACAGGCTTCCACACTATAGTCCGTGACAGCCACTCAGACGACTTGTTACACGAAATGTGGTTCTTCATCTTGAACTTCTTCTTTAGTCGTTACAAAGTGAGGACGTAGCGTCTCAAGGAGGAAAGTGAAAAGCAAAAGAAAGTGATGCGAGATTTGGATCGGCAATATGAAATTGCACGTGAAGCCACACACATGGGACGAGGCTTAGGACTAGGATTTCATCAATAAATGTTGTGCTGCTGGTGGTACGTGCCCTGAGGCATTTTTGTTTTTGCATGTTACTGGCAGGTGTTCTGTTTGAAACCGTCAGATGTGTATGCTAAGGGTGCTAATGTGCATTCACTTTGTTGAAACCTGGGTGATTAAAATGCCGTAGTAGTCCCGAGATTCTCGGTTGATTGGAGAACGAAACAGAAGCGTCAAGCAGTAATATTGATGAAAGTCGTTTATAGAGCGGATTCGGAGAAATATTCTTTTGAGTTTGAAGGTCTAGCCAAGTCTTAGCAGGAAGGGCGGGCTTACGGAACAATAGCGTCATTTGGGACAGGAAGTCAAGTCACGCCCTCTCCGAAACCCGCCTCCTACGTGCGTGACGGTCAGATTTGAAGGCGTTTTTCTTGAATTATGAGCTATTAGCACAGCTGACGCTGAAACTGCGACATGCTTTTTTTTTGAATCGTTGTATTGATTCCTAAAACACGTTTGCCAAAATATCTTGTTGCCAAAGCTTCCCTGTTTAAGATCTGTTTTTGGAAAATTGCTTATGATGATCTGGGAGATCGTGCAATTGTGTGGGCTTCTCAAGTAGATCTGTATGATTTGAGGAACGATGAAATTTGTCACCAAGTGATCATAAGCTTCAGCTTCCTTTCATGCAAAGACCCATAGATCTCCCGAACAGGCAGCTCATCCTGCTGTGGAATGATGACGAAAATAAGAGCCATCACTGCAATTCAGTTGTTAGAAAACATTGCCTCATCAGGTGATCCATGAGTTGCACTCCTCTAATAATCTCCAGTGATCTAGCGCAGGTGTAGCAAAGGTCCGCAATCCGTCAAGAGCTGGAGAATGACGTTTCACTCAACACGTTAATAACCTGGGAACTTGCGTTGTCGCATTGCCAGTGACGTCGCAGGACATGCAGTTTACGTGTTGTGTGACGTCAGTGACACGTCATGCGTCACGTGACCGTCACGTCTGAACAGGTAACGTGCTGGATTGCGCACATGTGCTACATCAGCGCCAATGTCAGTTATTTGTTATTGCTGTTGTTTCGATAACCCGACTAAGCCGATCGTTGAAGCCGTGGGAGTAGAATTTGCGTCAAACTTAAAGGCACATTCAACCATATGCGAATAGGTGGAGAAAGACAACCGTTTCCCTTCCTGATTGGTGCGCAACCCTTTCCAAGTCGATAAAAAGAAAAGGCGCGCTAATGAGATGGTTCTCTGTCCGCCTACGCGATTAAGGGGGAATGTGCCTTCAGGTGCTCTGCAGATGCGGCTTATTCGGGTTCGTTTGAGAACTCCTAGTGACACAGGATTTCTGGGCTATTTTCGGCTCCAAGACCGCAATTATGCCCATACAATTCATTTAAGGATTTGAGTCTGCATTTATCTCGTCTACCGATTTGAAGTAGAATGACTGGCCATTCATTTGCTGTGACCTGAACCTTGGCGCTTCTGCATTTGGGAGGGGACACACGGCGGCATGACTAACGGTCTGCTCTTCTGTGCCCACTCGACGAGACAGTAATTATTTCCTATCCCTAGGCTCAGCCTCAGAAGAGCGCAGACGACCAAAGTCTACGTGGCCTGTCGCGCTGCGTGGCCCTCTACGTCAGTTACGCCTAAATTTGTGAACGTGTCGAGGAAGCATAGGATTGGTGGTTGTAGGCAATCAACCAGTCAGGTCATTAAACGCATCTGCCGTTCTTTGTATCAAACCAGCATTCGATTAGGATTGCTGTTCTATAAGGGCTGTATGGCGTATAGTGAAACCGTGTAGCGTATAGTATGCCCATAGAGGTGGCAGTGGGCGGTCATTCGACACTTGATTGGTCGTTATTTTTCACATTCAAATTGAATTACCTATGAATATCTGATTGAGTATTAGGTCGTTGTTTACAAATATGTTTACTTTTGTTTATTTGTGCATAACAGAACTTGATTTTCTACAGTTTATGTTGTTTATATGACAATAAATATTCACACAACAAAAAAAGAACCCGAACACAGGGGCAACAAATCGAATAGTCGTAGCACTACATACTGTACATTTCACAAACAAAGAAATAGCACCATAAAAGTCTGCGTTGGCGTGCGTTAGTATACCAGTTTCTCACCGGTACTGTCTCCAATACTCAGAGCCATTCCGAGTTCAATTTCAGATATGTTGCTGCGTAAATCCTGCAGCATCGAGGCGATACGTTCCGAGTCGCGTCTAAAACTATCGGAAATGAGCTCTTCGTCGATTGGAGCCAAAGAAATTTTGGGC